TCAGTGCAGCCCCAGTGTCCCCAGCTCGAGCAGAGGTGCCCCCTCCAACCGCTGCTCAAGCAGGAACCTCGAAGTCCCTGTAGCTCCTCCTTCTCCCTCAGCCCCAAATCCACTCAGGTGCCCCTCCTCAAGCTCTCCCCTTCCATTCAGTCTGTCAGCAAATGTTTCCTGAGCTCATTCTGTCCTCAGGCACAAACCAGCACCAAGGCCTCAGCCATGAGCGAAACAGACGCAGCCCCATCCTTGGTGAGCTGTCATTGGTGGGAAACACCAAACAAGATGCTTAAGTGAACATCTGACACACCATCAAGGGCATGGGAAGGAAAATGAGAGGGGCATGAAGAGTCAGAGAGTGGCAGCAATGAGACTATTTTAATGAGAGGGTCACCTCTGAGGGATGAGGTGGAGCAAAGATGGGAACGAAGAACAAGCAGAGCCAGGGGGCTTCCTGGAGAAAGAGAGCCTTAGACAGAGGAAATGACACGTGCAAAGGCCCTGAGGCAGGGAGCGAGTTTGCCTCTGAGAGAGCAGCGAGGGGGCAGTGTGGCTGGAGTGGAGAGTGAGGGGGAGGAGGCAGGGAGGCTGGTCAGGCTAAGGGGGGTCCGGTGAGGACGGACTGAGAACGGCTGGGAGAGGTCTAAGCAGAAGCAGGACAGGCTCAGACTTAGGTTACAACAGCTTCCCTTTCTCTGGAAACGGAGTGCAGGAGACAAAGGGCAGTAGCAGAAAGGCCAGTGAAGAAACTACTGCAGCAGTCCAGGCAAGACATGAAGGGCAGGGAGGTGGTGGCCGGCGATGGACTGGCACAGAGCGGCCTAATCCTGGATCTGCTACAGGACCAGATGTCCCGTGTGGGAGGAAAGAAAGGAGTCGGGAAGGGACCTAGCAGCTCCACTTTAGAGACCATGGTTCCTTGCTGTATCCCCAGTGCACAGGACAGTTGACCTCAATTAATAGTTAATGAAAGAGAAAGAGCAAATTCAGGAAGAAAGAGAATCCCAGTCTCAGATTCTCCCTTCAGACCAGACTGGGTTTGAGGGTGGTTGTTTTTTTCCAGGGTGGGTTTTTTTTCCCCCTTTTTCAACCTTGTCAGAAGGCGACCTCTGGTGGCCAATTATTAAACTACAACCCCCACTTGACAGCTGTAAGGAACGGATAATGGACCCTGGAAGATTCCCAACTGGGTAGAATCAGAGACCACATTTCACCACCACGTCCCCCTCCCCATGCCCCCACTAGACAGATGAAGATACTGAGGCACTGAGGTCTGATCTACATCTCAGCAGCCGCCCCTTCTGGCCTCCCAGCTATTGTTTTCCAGAACTAAATGGACTTTTCAGGGAAACCCCCACATCCTCTGAATGGGATGCTGGGAGTCCACTCATTGCCTTCCTACATTCCTACGAAGCAGAAGTGTCGTACAGCCTGGGCCTGCATACATGCCAGGGCTAGGCACTCCCAAAACACCCAAGTCAGCCCATATTTTCCTTTCTTAGCTAGACGGGAAAACTTTAACCCCTGTGGGTTGGCATCTCCACCATCCTTCACTCCTGGAATCCTGCCCCAGAGCACCCAGCAGAGGTCTACCTGCAAGAATCCATTTCTCTCTCTCTCTCTCTCTCTCTCTCTCACTCACACACACACACACACACACACCTGGAATCTTCTCCCTTCCCAGCCCAGTTCCTCCAGCTAGAGTAAGGTGTGCCCCCCGCCCCCCCCACCAGAGGGCACCGTGACTCCTCCCACCTTCAGCGGTGGCGGTGCCTTGAGCTGTCATTGCTCTTTACACAGGACTCAGCCAGGCAGAGGGAAGGAGGTCTCAGGTGCGTTCTGAGCAGGCTAGAGGGGTTGTCACCTCCCTCGAGCTGCATGTAAGACCTCCATTAATGCAACACAAGATGGCACTGGATGTTTCTTTTATTTCTTTCTCTTCTTGTTCCTCTTTTTAAAGTAATTTTTAATTTTACATTACACAAGTAGCAGGGTTATAGACCCCCAGGAAATAGGAAAATTTCAGTTAAGGCTAAAGTCCTCTTGGTTCACTCCCCATTCCCCACCCCATTCCTGGACCTCCTGAACGAAGGGAAGCACTGTTGTCGATTTGAAGTTCATTCTTGCAGATTTTTTTATGTATATGTCACACACAAACACACACCCCTGAAGAATATGTAGCATCTTCTTAGGATTGTTTTTCTACAAAGTAGAATCATACTGTCCGTTTTTATCCCGCGACTTTTTTCTCCACTGTGTTCTGGACTCTGGAGTTCAGTTCACGGATGTGAGATGGTATTCACTTTGATGGGGAGCTGCATCAGGCTGTGAACCACTTTGGGAAGCAAACTAGTCCCTAATTGGCCTGGAGGCACCCTGTGGAGCCCCTCCCCCTAACTCTCTTCTCTCGCATCTCCTCCCCCCCCTCTTCCTCCCATCTGCCACTTTTTTTTCACCCCTGCACTTAGGCCCCACACAACCAACTCCTTTGTGAGGTTTGAAAACGCTCCTGTCCTGAGTTTGGGGCTCCCTGCGCCCCCTGATGGTGTCTATGAGTAACTTCAGCCCTCTAAGCCTTTTGCCCATCAATGCATTCAGGAATACTAACCTACGCTTAAATCTGCCTGTGCCTGCCAGAGACCCAGCAGCCGCAGATGAGCTCATCTCTGCCCTGGCAGCTCTCTTGGTGGAATGTGAGTGCCCTCGTGACCAACCAGAAGAATCTGCGTGTTTAAGAGCGCTGGGGGAAGCGCTTTGTGGGAAACTCATGGTCCCGGTGCAGAGCCTTGGGAGGACAACGGGGTGCTCCCTTCCAAGTGTGCTGCAGTTTGCTGCTAGGACCTGAGTCCACAGGGACAAAAAGGCAAATTGCCAGGGTGTTTGCTGCAGCACTGTTCTCAATGGTAAATTATATGCACCCAGCAATCAGGCCAGCTACATTCATCCAGGTGCTTTCGGATAATGGAACACGTCTAGGTCTAACCCTTCCTGAGCCTGGGACTCTGTCCCCCTTGGAGCGTCTCCACTGGCTCCCCCCACTGCCCCCCCCCACTCTGCAATCTGCTCCGAGTCGGTCCTCTCCCACTCCGGGTCCCCCTCGCCCTCCTCTTTCTTCTTTCTACGGAGCACATCTTCTATCATAATAAATAACGTCCTTATTTATAATGTGTGTTGCCCACCTCTCCCCCACGGGAATGTCAGCTCTCCAAAGAAAGGCTTTGTGAATTTTGTTCAGTTTTATGTCACAGTGCCTGACACACAGCTGACACGTGACAGAGGTTTGGTCAATGGATGGTCTCATTCATGGCAGGGGACATGGAAGGATCTCTAATCGATATTAACTGAAAAGGGAAGCTTCAGATCAATGTGGACGGTGCGCCCCACTGTGTAAAGAATGTGGGTGGGATGCTTTCCTGTAAACCTAAAACTGCTATTTTTTAAAGTCTATTAATTAAACAACAACAAAAGCTATGAAACTTTCTGGAGAGGACAAAGAAAAAGAGAACACTTTGGTTGGGTTTCATTCATGCGTGTATGCAACCAGCATGTATTAAACTCCTGATACACAGTGGTCATGTTGGATAAAGGCTTCTTTGGAGAAAGTGACATTTGAGATTGGCTTTGAAATATGAGTAGGATTGTGCCAGGAAGAGATGGGGCAGAAAGGATATTCTAACGCACGGGTCGGCGTGGAAATTGTGGCAGCGGAGATGTACTATAAATACCTCGAGAACGGTCAGCAGTTCTGGTCGCGGACTGCAAAGGCCCCGCTCGAGAAAGACAAAGTGATAACGTTGTGGAGGCCTATCCGTCCCAGCTGAGAAAGGACGTAAAAGCAAGGCTTAGGCATTTTTCTTGATTTGGTAAGCAACAGAGGAGTCTTTGAAAGTGGATAACAAAGATACATTTTTAAATTAAAAGTAACATAAGAGGCAACTGTGAGATGGCCAGAGCGAGGCCACCTCCTAAGGGAGAACTTCCTGCTGGAGTCGGAGGGGAGCACCCCGGGAGGCGGGGCTTGGGGCCCTCGCTGCCCGGGTCCGGTAGGGCCACGTACTTCAGGCTTCCCAGGAGCGGATTCTCGTGACCCAAGTGTTTGCTACCAGCACCTCCTGGGCCCCTGCCCGCTGAGAGAGGGGACCAGGGTCTGCTCACCTCTCATCCCAACCGCACACCTGGAGAGGGATTGCTGGGTAAGTAAATGCGTGACTTGGAAAATGACGCAAATTGAGCCAGATTTATTGGTAGAAGTCAGCACTCGGCGGGCCTTTACTAAGTGCCAAACGAACCCTGTGTGGTTCATTTTACGCCACGTGGGCGCCCGTTTGAGTCTGGGTTCAAATCCTGACTCTGTGCTGGCTCTAGCACGTTCAGCAAGTCACTTGACCACTTTGAGCCTCACTTCCCCGCCTCAAAAGTGGCTCCTACCTGCTGCCTAGGCCTAATGAGAAATTCAGTCAGGAGGGAACTCTGTCAGCGTAGTATTTGTCTGCAGACGTCAGAGATCAGCCCTGCCAGGGCTCTTGACTCCTCCGGGCCTCTGCGTACTCCTCTGTAAGATGAGGAGAGCTACAGCACCTCCCCAGAAGGCTGTGGTGAAGACTAAGTGCATGTCAAGCTGTGCCTGATGCACTCGGCTCAACACACACTGGCTGCCATGATTTCTGCCTTACAAGGAGGCGCTATTATTCCTGCCATTTTGCAAGGGACTTGCTTAAACGCCAATATTTGAACCGAGAGTTTCTGCCCCTGGAGCGGGTTCCCGCATGAAAGGAAATACAATAGCCACAGGGTGGGGCCAGAGCCATCCACCTGGGCAGGTCATTTGCCTTCTGGAGGTCAAACGTCAGGAAAGCTGAATGGCCGTGAGCACTGGATAAGATCAGCCCTTTATTGTCACCATCCCTGGACAACTAATTGGCTGCCTGGCAGATTCCAGGCACCCAGGAGTAGGCCCTGGGTGGTGTGGGGAGCCCCTCCCACTCTCCCCCACTACTGGGCGGGGACAGGTTAATACTAACCAAGCTGCCTTGCGCCCCTCCCGTGCAGAGCCGCTGGAGAACTAAGCCAGCAGGTAAGCGGGCAGAGCTGGCTGGCTCAGGTCTCTGAGGGCACAGTCCTGAGGTACCAGGAGCCAGCTGCTGGCAGGAAGGGCAGCACCTGGCACAGGGTGGAGGAGGGGCACTTGTTTGAGGACAGAAGGTGGCTCGTGGCCTTTCCCCTAGTTTCAGGCTTCTGGGTTAGAAGGAGAGGAAGGGAGAAGGGCCTTCTTCTCTGGGAGGTGAGCTACCTTGAACCTTCTGGGTGGACTCCAGACCTCTCCTCCCTAGTCCGTAACATTGGGCCCTCAATGACCTCTGCCAGCTGCATGTCCACCCCGTTGGGAACTATAGATGCCTGCTTCTGCCAGGTGGGGGCTGGAGCCTCACCAGCCAGGCACAGGGGCTGGGAGCTGGGGTTGGGGGTTGGGATAGGCACTGAAGGGAGGGGAAGCCAGCCAAGGGCAGCCCCGTGGGAGGACTGAAGCTGTTCTAGGCCCCAGGAGGGAGGAGAAGGAGGACAGGAACTCACAGTCCCAGCCGACCTCGGCTCCTGTTATCTCCTTGCTTCCTCCCTGACACCCAAGGTCAACAGGCCTGGGCATCCTCACAGCCTTTGGTGAAACTTCAGCCCAGAGAGGGTGCGCAGCTGGCCTGAGGACACACAGCAGTGAACACAGGGCTAGATGACTGGAGACAAGGTTGGGGGCTGGATAGGATGTAGGCAAGCACTGCCTCGTCTCTGGGCCTCGGTTTCCCCACATCTGTGAAATGGGCACATTGAGTTGGATGAGGTCCTGGGAGAAACTCAGAGGCAGGAAGAGGAGAAGGCCTCTTGACACTTGAGGATGAGAGCTGTGAGCAGCTGAGTGGCCGACCTGGCCAGGCATCCAGCACACCCTGCTGCCCCTCAGCCTCCGTCTCCCCCTCACCTTACCTCCTCTTTTTGCCCAGCCTATGCCCCTCTGTCCTTTCTGCCCATTTCTGCTTCTAGCTTTTGGTTCTTCCTGCCTTTCCATGTCTCGGTCCCCATCTTTGTCTTTCTTCCTTTTTCCCTCTAGGTTTTTGGTTTTAATCCTCTCGGTCTCCCTGTCCTGTTGAGACTCTATGACATCCTTTTCCTGCCCAGACAACAAACCTGGGACAACACTGACTCAGACCTTTGTCCAGACCTCATCAGACCCTGGCACTGCCCAGGGCCACCCTGGCCAGCTGAGCTGGCATGGCTAACGTGGGCTTGGCCAGTGGCCCAGGCATCGGCAAACCAGATGACCACCTGGCCACTGAGAAAGAGGACAGGGCCCTGCTCTCACAGAGATGATATTCCACCTGGGAGAGACCATCACTCCACCAATAGACACAGACATACTCCGGCCACAGAGCTGATGCACCATTATACTGTGAAGGAATAAAGCAGACAGCAGGAGAGAATGCCAAGGGTGAAGGTTGTTTGGGCTCTAATGATCAAGGTCAGACAGGACCCTTCCTGCCAGGTGGCAGAGGAGGTGGCCCGGCCATGCACTGGCCCTGCGTGGGAACTCCTCCCCGACTCCCTGATTCCCATGGACCTGGGACCCCAACTTTTGATGCAAGGATACAAGGCAAAGAGACACCTGTGCCCTGGACCCTCCTGGGTTCTGTGTTCCCACCTGTTATGGGAATGAGTGCCTTAGGTGCCTCGTGCAAAGCCATAGGCTTCTGGTTTCCCACAGTGGCAGAAGGGGCCCCAGGAAGAAGGGATGTCGCAGAGCCTCCCCTAGGTTCTCTGGGGCCTGTACCCCACGCCTCCCCTTCCCAGCCCAAGTGCTGGGGCTAGCGGAAAAGGATCCTGCTCAGCTTGCCCCTTGCAGCTTCTCCATAACGCCCTCACCTCCAGGCTGGTTCGGAGCGCTGAGTCCACATTCTGGGATTAAATTGCAGCTCCCAAATGACCGGCTGTGTGACCTCAGCTAAATTACTTCCCTTCTCTGAGCCTCAGTCTTCTCGTCTATAAAATGGGGATAATCATAATGCCTACCTCGGGATTGTAGAGAGAGTTTGATGGATACTGTGTGTAAAATGCTTAGCAAGGGGCCCGGCAAATGAGCGGCAGTTAATGAAAGGTGGCTATTGTTGTTGTTACTACTAACATTATTGTTATCATGTTGTACTATAATCCATTCTATTATTGTTGTTGCTGCATTGTACTCTGCGCCAGCTTTCTGACAGGCTTCATTCCTGCTTCTACCCTGGCCCCACACAATTCTCCTCACAACAGCCAGCACGATTCTGCGAAAAACTAAATTAGAGCTGGTCCCACCCGTGTCTCGCAGTGAGGATTTTGGCTCAGAGGAAACGTCCCAACTCTTGCCTACAAGGCCCTGTGGGACCTGCCCACCTCTGCTTACACTGCTGCAGCCACATTGGCCTCTGGGCTGCTCTTCCAATGCCAGGGTCTGTTTCTGGCACCTGGCAGGTGAGGCTGTGCCCCAGGGCCTTGACACATGCTGTTCCCTCCCCCGGACGACGCCTCCCCATCGCACGTGAGTAAAATCCCACCCTCCCTTCATGCTGCCTCCAACAACCCCGTTTAAGATCGCGGCCACCCTCCAGGACAGCCGGATCCCCTCAGCTTCTCCTTCCCTGACAGCCCTTACCAGCCGCTGACTGGCTTGCCATTTCTGTTATTTCGCTTCGGGGCTGCCTCTCACACTTCCTTGACTGCAGAGATTGTTATCCAGCATGCGGCAAATACCCCACACAGATTGGTTGAATACACAAAACCTGTAAGGTCACCAAAAAAACAAAAATAGTAAATAGAGATGTTTGTTTAAAGAATAACTGATTATTAGTCACGGGGAGCCACTCTGAAAGTTGTCGGAAAACCCCTAGGCCTCTATACATGCAGTGCCCGCCCCCAGCACGGCCCCCAACTCATAGTCATTGGTGGCTGTGCCCTGCCCCCCTGCTCCACCCCACCCCCAAGTCCAGGAGCACCTGGCATTTGGTGTGGCTGGCTGGGGGTGGGTCAGGGCCGGGGAGATGGGTCGTGCTGGGCTGTGCTGGGCCGTAGCACTGTTGTGACTGTTTTCCAGATGAGGAAGCAGAGACTCAAAGAGCCAAACCCCTTCCCTCAAATTGCACAGCTGTTCCGGGGCCTAGAGCAGAGCCAGAGAACTCAGCTCTGCGGGGCCTGGGGGCTCAGGCCCTCAGTGCGTGGGGGCAGAGGCGCATGAGTAAATCCAGGCTCCTTACCTGCTCTGTCTTCCCATCAGGTGCCCTACTCCAGCCAGACTGGCCCAGGCTCATTTCTGCCCTGGGACCTTTGCAAAATCTGTTCCTGCTCTTTTGGTATTTTTATTACAGTCACATGCTACTTAACCACAGGGATGGTCTGGGAAATGTGTCCTTGGGTGATTTTGTCGTTGTGCAAACGTCCCAGTGTGCACTTACACGTACCTAGACTGTATAACCTACACACTGAGGGTATGCGTTACAGACTGCTGCTCCTAGGCTACAAGCCTGTACATTGTGTTACTGTACAAAACCTCGCAAGATTAAATCCCACTCAAGAGAAAACGATCCAATCGAGAGATGCAGTAAACACAAGATGTATGAGGCTGCGGCCGACGTAACACGGCACACTGCCTTACAGAAAACGTTTTATGATTTTAGTTTTTAGATTTTACTTATTTATTTTTAGAGAAAAGGGAAGGAAGGGAGGGAGAGAGGGAGAGAAACATCAGTGTGCGAGAGATATAGTAACTGGTTGCCTCTCGCGTGCCCCCAACTGGGGACCTGGCTGAAACCCAGGCATGTGCCCTGACTGGGAATTGAACCAGTGATCTTTTGGTCCACAGGCCAGTGCTCAATCTACTGTGCCACACCACCCAGGGTGAAAACTTTTTTTTTAGTAAGTAGAAAGAGGGAACCCTAAGCTCATGTGACTCAGTGGACTGAGAACCGCCCTGTGAACCAGCAGGGTCACTGGTTCAATTCCCAGTCAGGGCACGTGCCTGGGTTGTGGGCCAGGTCCCCAGCTGGGAGTGTGTGAGAGACAACTGATCAATGTTTCTCTCCCTCGTTCCTGCCCTTCCCATCTCTCCAAAAATAAGTAAATAAAATCTTTTTTCTTAAGTGCACTCTGTAATAGTGAGTATAGTATATAAACCAGTGACAGAGTCATTGATCGTCACTGTCAGGCATTGTGTACTGCTCGTGCTTCTGTGTGTTCCGGTCAGCCAGGACCCGCAGCACGGTGGGTGCGTCTGCGTCAGCGGCACCTCAGACCCGTGAGGAGTGTGTCTGCCACACGTCACTAGGCAACAGGAATGTTTCGGCTCCATCATATTTTAGTGGGACTCCTGCGTGTGTGGTCCAGCGCTGACAAAACATTGTTATGTGGTGCATGAATGTGCCGTTTTTAAGACAAAAACATTTAATCCAGCTGGAATTGATTTTAAGGGAGGGTGGGATAGGGGGTTCGAAGTAAGAGAGAGACCCAGCTTCATTTGCTTTCCCCAAATGGCAAGTCAATAGCAAGTCTCGTTTTCTGACTGGTCCTATGCAGGAAAACTGCGTATTTGTAAATGTGTAACTGGCCTCCTTGCTGAACCCTCTCATTAGCTGGCTAGCTTTTCAGATGATAAAGGTAATCGGCTCCTCTGAATTTGCCTCCAATCTTTAATTATTTACTTATTCCCATTTATTAGATATGTCATTTATCACCTCCTCTATATCTACCATCTTCTACTGTCAAGGCCCAGAGCAGACCTTTGCCCCCAAGTTCATTCCTAACCTGCTGGTGTCTCTTTAAGATGTCTCTCAACAAATAATTTTGTTTGGTTTTGGTTTTTGATCAAATCTTGCTTGGGGTGGGACCTGCGTCTCTGAGTCAGAGCATTCATGGTAAAGGAGATAAATGCACTATTCATTAGTTTGGGGTTACTCTAATTGGTCAAAATATATCCTTGAATATATATGTCTTTATACTTAGGCAGTGTTTTGCTGTGTATAAAAGTCTTGAACAAAATAGCTTATATACAACTTAAACATC